CTTCCAAACATGCGTACCTCAGATGTCTGGGCTCGATGAGCTTTCCAGTCAACAATCCCCCCGAATTTAGATACGGCTTCCTTCACTGATTCAAAAGGCGCCGTTGTGTCAATTTGAACCCGGTATGTTTGGGCATTTTCACTACTAGAAGGACTGTTGGCTTCTTTAGATAGCTCCCAAGTTGTTCTTTCTGGACCATTATTACTGTCTCCCTCTGTCTCCTTTGCTGTGCTATTGGAAGGCAATGCCATTGGAATAGGTGGAGGCTGATCAAAAGTGCCATTTGCGTCTTCTGGTTCATCGTCTTCCAAAGGCTCTAGCTTTGAACTATCTGAAGTGGAGACTTGCTGCATCTTTTCTTCATGTGCTATAAGTTTGCTTGATTCAGATAAGCTGTTTCCCTTGTTGTCCTCATAAGCTGTTCCAGGATCAAAAGAGCAGTTCATTGATGGGGCATTTCCGTTTACATTTTCCACACCTTCCATCAACCAAATGGATAGAGCAAATCAATTTGCAGCCAGAATCCTGATACACATTTATAAAGTGCGTGAGAGGAGAAAATTTGAAGGGAAACCCCATTAAACGAACTTAAATCGGTGTGTATCAATGCTAAAGTTTCCTAAGCAGTTACTTGCAAATTTCAGATGTCCCTATACAAAATTAAAAGCCAAAAAGCCAGTTTACAATAAACTTAATGTTCAAAGCCTTCCGGAGGCAGTACCGCTTTTACATTTTAAAAAAAGAACACCAAATAGCAGACACAAACATCTCATCTTACCAAGGAAATAAGATTAACCGTGTGAATAAGCAGACAAACAAGGTAAAGAATATCAACTAAGGTTGGAGCATAAGATGGATGAGAATTAGGTTAACTTTATCATCTTCCTCATAAAAATTGAATACATATATATATATATATACACACACACAGACAATAAGGATGAATCCTTTATATCTTTTGTCCACAAACAGCACAATTTTGCACATCAAAGCTGGCCGCCAATTTCAATAATTAAATCCCTGATCTCAAATAAATAAAGAAATAAATAAAAATATTCCCAAAATTGGCAAAGAACAAGGGTGGAGGGAATCGGGAATCAATCGGGCATCCAATTTTTTCTTGAAATCAAATTTTCCAAATAAACAGCACCTTTCTAACTTTCCATATACATGAAGAAGAAGAAGAAGAAGAATCACGTCAAAGATTTAGATAAACTGCGAAGGTATATTGAAGAAGAAAAACAGGAATTTACAGAGAACAATTCTTGATTATCTGAGGATTTAAAAAGAAAAGGTCGAAAAAATAAAGGTGATCAAAGAAAGAAAGAAAGAAAGAAGAAGATACCAAGAATCACTGGAAGCACCACGCAGAAGTCAAAATTCTAACGCTACGAAAGGAATCAGTCTCTCGCTGGGCGCCTCTGAATCTCTCTCTCTCTCTCTCTCTCTCTCTCTCTCTCTCTGCATATAAGAATCAATTCAATTCTTTTTCAAATTTTACAGTAGAAAGAAAGAAGGAAAGAAGCTAAGACAAGTCACTGCATTAAGGAGCGAGAGACGCCTCCCTCAATCATGAAAGCAGTGGAGGGGAAATTTATTTTTACCTCCATCCTCAAACTTCATTTTCCGGTTTACTCTAAGGGCAGTTTGGTACATGGAATTCAAACAATGGAATTGGAATTGAGGACTTCAATTCCAATTCTGGTGTTTGGTAGCACAAAAATTATGTGGATTTGGAATTGATAGTGTGAAAAATGAATTGGAATTGGCAGAATTCAATTCTATGGAATTGAATCTCATGGAATTTCAATTCCAATTCAATTCCAATTCCATCAATTCCATATACCTAACGGACCCTAATTGTTTTCAATTTATTCTCTTCTTCCGTCTCAAATTAGATTACACAGTTCGAACTTGTAAAATTTTGTACTTTTGAAAATAAAAAAAATATAGTTTACATATTTAAAAAATACAGTAAAAATTTTACAAAATAAACAGTGAGAAAAATGTTTTGTTTTATCAAATAGTCAATCAAATCATGAAAATAAATAAAAGTTATTGAGAAGCCAGAATACTAACTATGTAATCTATTTTGGTACAGAGAAAGTATTTGATTGTAAATATAAAATTTAATTTATATATTTAAAATTATGTTAATTTTTTCTTCCCAAATTAATTGTATTAATTTGACTTCACAAAGTATAAGAAAAATTTCAAAAAAAAAACTCAGTGGTTGGAATTTATTTAAAAGTAAGAGAAAGATTGTAGACAACATACTTCATAATTTTTACTTCATATTTTATTAGGTAAATGAAGAAGTAAAAGCAATTTTTTTAGATGAGCTAAGAAGAAAAATAAAATGATTAATTCATGACAAAAGAAATAGGATTAACCATGTGAATAAGCAACCAAAATTAGTACTAAATGAAAAGAAATTTAAAGATGAAGCAAGGGTGATCTATAAAATAAATAAATAAATAAATAAATAAATAAAAATAATTTTGTAAAATAAAGAGGTAAATGTCCATTCATATACTCCGGGGTATTTTATTGGTTATTAAAAGGGTGCATATAAAAATCTACTTAATATTGTAATATAAAAAACTCTTAAATCAAAATTTAATCATCTCTTCCAAAATATTCTTTTCATCCTATACAAAGATTTTATAAGGAAACCGATATTATCATGAGAAGGTAAATATTTTTCAATTTAAAATAGTCGGTAAATAAAAAAGGAACAAGGATTACACGTGGGTAGGAAATAAGCTTTTGGAGACACCCACGAGACCATCCCTGTGTTTTTTCCATTTGTCTCGTTTGTTTTTATTCACAGGCTCGGAATTTTTTTCTTTTTTTGGTCCTCGTGCCTTCTGAATCAACACATTTTTTCGTTTGAATTTATTTTTCCACATTTCAAAATAATGTTCTTCGTTTCTAAATTTAGATTGGTTTTAATTTCAAAATGTTATGGAGTATAAAAATAAAATATACAATTATATATTTAAGATTTTTTATATCAAAAACTCTAAAAACAAGTGAAAATATATCAATTTTATTTTATCAAATGGAATAAAAACACAAATACGAAAAAAAATATCAAAACCTTAAATAGTAACGGGCATGTTCATGTAACATTGGTATCCAATGTTATAACATGACCCCGGGCACCTACATTATTCTGTTCAAAAAAATTATAGTACCTACTCTTTAAACCCCATCTCTTCACGCACCCTCCTACACCTCCTCCAGCCCCATGGCTCCTACCTCCCACCATCGTGGATTAGCTACGTACAGTAATTATTGTGAAAATCGTGAAGAACTGAAGGGGAGAGGGGGTGTATACAAATCGAATCGAAGCAAAGCAAATATCTTATTATTCGATTCGTATTCGTTTGAAATGATATTTATTCGAATTTTAAGAAACATTCGTATTTGATTTGTTAACATATTTCATGTATTCGAATTCGTATTCAAATATTCGAATTCGAAAATAATAGAATTTTTTAACACATTTTCTAAAGACAGTGCAATACAATTTTTATAAACTACGAGTAACATAAATGTCTACGAATCTGGAAGCAACGTCCCCAAATGAAATATACTTGAAAAAGGTAAAATATGAGGTTGACGCAGTAAGTTTGTGACGCTAGAAAGGAAGATAAACGCGGGACGCCTGTGACACTTTGTGTTACGCTGGAAGACAAAATCGATAGATGAAGATGAGGTCGATCAATGAAATTGAAAGACCAAGCGTTAAGCGTATGCGGTGGTAAATCCAGTGATTGATAAAATAGATAAGATTGGGTTTGCTTGAAAGAGGAAGGATCTTGACCGTTAAAATATTTAATCCAAGGTATACAAATTACTAGCGGTGTTTTAGGGCATCTTTATTTATTTATACTATTCGAATAATTTGAAATATAAACGAATCGAATCTATTAATACTCATATTCAAATTTAAATATAAGTCGAATCTAAAATTTGATTCATGTTCGGATCCAAATTCAATTAAAGCGAATGCGAATCATCTTTTTCGAATACGAATTACGAATCGAATTAATTATATTTGATTAATTATATTTGTATACACCCTAGGATGCAGGGGCGTTTTGAGAGGTTTATGAGGATATGAATTATCAATTTTCGAACAGAGCACTGTAATGTCTCGAATCATGCTATGACATTGAAGTTGAATGTCACATGAATCGGGACGAAATAGTAAATATGACGATAATTTATGGATAGCATGAGTAACTTTTTTGTCATTTGATACTCCTTTGTTTTTTTAAAACTTTTTTCGAACTAGTTTTTTTAAATTATAAAATTATAATTTAAATATTATTAATAATAATTACTAAATTAATTATCATTATAGTTATTACTCTAATAATAAGTTATAATTAATAATGATAATCATCATCATTAATCACAACACTTTATAATAAAAATAATGATGATAGTAATAAAAATAAATAGAATTATTAAAATAATATTGATAGTAAGAATAATTAATAATAATAAAAATTATTATTGTAATATTAATAATAATAATAATTAAAAATAATTAATACTCCGTAATAAATTAATATTATTATCATGCATTGATGTTAATAATGATAATCATCATCAATAATCATTACACTAAATATTAGTAACAATAATAATAATTAATTATAATATTTTAATAAATATAATTATTAAACTAATAATGATAATAATAGTAATTAAAATAATAATTATTAATAATAAAAATTATTATTGTGTTATATTAATGATAATTATTAATGATATTTAATAACAAATTATACTTAATATAATAATAATTATTTGAATTAATTCCATTCAGATCAGATTCATTGAGAACAGACCCATTCAAATGAGATCAAATTGATTCAGATCCGATCAAATTCATTTAGATCAGTTCACACCAATTTTAAAAAATTAAGTTGAGATCAGATCAACGGAAGATGGGCAACCTAAACCTGATGCAAGTGCTGCTTAACTGCAAATCAGTCCTAACAAAGATCTTCACTCGTGTGTGTCATAAAATGGAATAGAGGAAGAAGAAGAAGACTAAAACAGAGAACATACTCACTACATTAGACTAGTAATTACATAGGGTAGGCGTACCAGTGAGTGGATACAAGCCAGAGCCCAGGGGACACCATGAATCAGCAAGACAAGAAACTCCATCAGGAAGAGGAAGAGGATGATGAAGAAGTGAAATGGAAAAATGTGCACTTAATTATGAATTAATTAAACCTTCTAGGATCAGTAATATTGATCTTCAAATGCTCATCTTGTAACCCCGTCCTCCTAGCCTCATTCCTATCCCAATCCAATTCAATCTTCCTCTGCTCCGACAATCCGCACTCTCTCTGCAACCTCTCATCCATGGAGTCGTGGAGCCTCCACCACGTCCGGTGTGCCATGTCGCTCGCGTACACGCGCTGATCCCTGATGTCCCAATTGCAGTCGTAGTCCCGGTAACAGAACCACGGCTTCAGCCCCAGATAGTGAATCGCGTAGAGCTCCGGCGGATCCGACCCGAACAGCTGGTTCTTCAACCCGGACTCGACCGAGGAATTGGACCAGAAATTCTTCAGGAAATTCACCCGCCTGGGCAGCCTGTGCCACCAGACGAAGACCTCGTTGAGGAACCCCTGGTCGCCGCCGTTGTAGGAGACGATCTCCTCCCGGCGCTGCATCAGCATGCGGAACGCGCAGTGGGAAGGCTCAATCACCATCACGCCGGAGTTGAACAGAGATCCGTCGTTTCCGGCGGCGGACATCTGCGGGAAGCGGAAGAGGAAGTCGATGCTGCGGAGGACGAGGACGTCGGAGTCGACGAAGACGATCTTCTCGTAGCGGGTGAGCTGCCACAGCCGGAACTTGCTGTAGTTGTACTCGTTGTAGCTGCCCTTCTCGGATCTAGGGTTCCGGATCCGGCTGATGAACCGGAGCTTCCACCCGGATCTGGCGAGAGCGTCGCGTTTGGAAGGGGAGATCCGGTTGTCCAGGAGGAGGATAAGGTCGCGTTTGGTTCCGGTGCGGAGGAGGCTTTGGGCCAAAGTTATGGCCCCACAAACGTAGGCTTCCGTGGAATGGAGGACCGTGGCGTATGCTTCTCGTTTTGCCGTTAAAGATAACGGCTTTCTGTCTTGTTCCACATTCGAAATATTGTACGCTTCATCTACGCCTGCTTTGCAAAAGAATTTCAAACAGTGAAATTCTTTTTCACATTCGAAATATTCATTTTTAAAAGATTTAAGAAATGTATATTTTGGTATTGAATTTTCAAAAAAGTTTTTGAAGTGATGGGTAAAAGTAGAATTTGATGGTTAGATTATTAGTAAAAAGGTATGATGTATGATAGATAGAGTAGGAAAAAGTGAGGGGTAAAAGTGACTTTTTAATAGAAATAAGAAGTGTTTTTTGAGACGGATGAAAAAAGAAAAGAGAAAGGTTTTTAGGGACATAGGAAGTATAATATTAATAGATAAATGTGATAAGAATTTGATTATATCAAAATTATATCTTAGGATGAAATCAATTATGTTGAATTTGTATTATAATTCAATATACTTTTCTCAGAATTCATGGTTAAAGAATGTCATTATTTGATAAAAAAATCAGAGCATGAAAAATTTTTAGGACCGAAGAAAGTAATTTTTATTTAATTCGAGATCAAAAGTGGAAAATGGGACAAATAGAGTTTTTAAATCTTCAAATTCAAACAAAAATACCTTTATCCCAAAGAGGCAAAGCCAAATTACAAGAACCAATGGGCAGCCCAAGTTTATGTTCTAGCCTGATGATATCCACCTCAAAGTACCACCAGTCTCCCGCCCTTTTCTTCAGATCATCGCACCGGAAAATCTCCACCATCGGCCTGCACTCGCTGAGCACCGCCACCTTCACCCTCAGGCGGCGGTCCCGCCTCCCTCTCTTCGCCGCTAAATTTACGGTGATCAAGTGAAGTTGCAGCCTCCGCACGTCTCGGCCGGAGGAATTATTGCACGGCAGTTTCGCCACCACCAAGTCGAACACGTGGGGGTAGTCGGCAAACGCCGGCATAGGGATCTCGGGGCAGTAAGTGCCGCCGTCCATCTCCTCCTCCTCGTCGATCCACTCCGGGAACAGATCTTTCCATTCCAAGAGCCCCGAGGCTTCCTCCCACTTGACGTGGACGATGAATTCCCCGCTGTCGGAAACCGCCTTACTATTCCATTCATAATCCATGTTCACCGCCCCTATCCTCCCTCTCACCGGCATTATTTCTTTCATGAAACTTGGCAGCAGGTTCTCCATTTTCTTCTCCGACGCATTCGGGGAAAAAGATGAAGGGCGGAGAGGGAGGAAGGCGTAAAGGAAGAAGAAAACCAAACTGATGATTATTAAGAGGAGTGATGGTTTATTATTGGTAGGAGAAGCAGCCTTCACCACATTCATCAACTTCTTACTCATCATCAATCATATCCTATCATCATCATCGTGATCATCATCGATAATATGTAATAAGCATGGTCTCTCTATAAACATAATTAACAATCACTCGTTGGGCATGATGATATTATATCATATATATGCTGATATATACGAAGTAAGTATATAATTAGCACCGGGCCGGAGTATATTGAAAGGTAAGGAATTTAGATGCAGCTGGTAGCTAGCTGTGGTTGGAGATGGAGAAAGCCAAGCTAGCTTAGTTGCAGGTGGACGAGAGGAAGGAGATAGGGTAACTAATTATTCTCTATTTGTCCCCCTATAGTTTTTAAGATTGTTATTAAATTACTACTCCCTCCGTCCCAAAAAGAATGCCACGGTTACTATTTTAATCTCTCGATAACTTTTATTTGTTTGCTCGTTTTGGTTGACTATTTGATAAAATAAAATACTTATCGCATCTTGTTTGGTAGATTTTTTCATATACTTTTGAATGGTGTAATTTTTACCTTTTATTACTCTACCAAATTTGAAAATATAATGATTTTAAAAGAAATGATATTTTGCACGTCGTTCGAAATGTTGCAAATAATTTAGGACCGAGGAAGTATATCTTATTATTATTAGATCAGATCACGGGCTCGGATACGATCCCGAATACTTGACCTGCCTGCCAAAAAACAGGCATTGGCTCAATATTTCTCACTACGAGCTGGATCCAGACTTTATGGCAGCTCGTATACTTTAGGGCCAAGCTCGAGCTTATGCTCAAACTCACGGGTCTGGCTTGCTCGAATAAAAAATATCCTCTACGTTCCTAAAAACTTTTCATGTTTTAACTTTTTGGGTCAAATAGTGAGATTATTTGACCATAAATTGTTAGAAAGATATATTTAATTATAATATAAATTCAATATAATTAGATTAATCTGAGGATATATGTCTGTTATATCAAATTTTTATATCATTTATATATTTAAATTATGTTTAATTTACGTTAAAAGAGTGTCACAGTTTGACTAAAACATTCAAAACATGGAAGGTATTTAGGATCAGGAGTAATATTTGTTATTTGTATAATTATAATACAATAATAATAACATCATTAATATTAATGTTAATATTAATAGAAACAACAATATTATTTTAAATTATTATAAACACATATACTTCTATGGAGAAAAAAGGATAATCATTAGTATATTTAATAAAATTAATACATATTTGAAACTCTAGGGTACTTTGATACATCTTTAATACTCTGCGGTACTCTAGGGTACTTTGATACATCTTTAAAATTAATACATCTTTAATAAAATTGACTCCAAAGTCAAAATTAACTTGTAAGGTGCAATTGAAGGAAGTGAGGGTGTGTTCGGGTCGGAGCGGGATGAAAGGGTTTACCGGAGGTTTTAAGGGGGGGTAGGGAGGGATCCGTCAATTTTACGAACGAGGCACCGGAACACCCCTGAGTCATCCCATGACATGGGATTCCAATGTCATGGGAACCCCACCGATATAAAAATACGACATTTCAATGTTTTTATAGCAAAATAGATAGAACTAATAGTGCCAAATAATCATATTTAGAAGATACAATGTCAAATTTAGAAGCATTTCAAAGTGCCAACAATCATATTTAGAAGATAAAAAATAGATACGGAGTATTATTTTGGTATAACGTACTGTATACATTCTACGGAGTATGTTTTAGTCTTCTTTACGTAGATTTTTTGGTAAATAGCTAATTCTTATATTGTGTGTTGTGACCAAAATTATATCTCCAACCCCATATACTTTAAACCCCTCAAACTCATTTCCTATAACTCCAACCACATTCTCACATATCGAATACATTCCCACAATTAGATTCTTCGGCAATTACACGACGAACCAAGGAAAGTTACAAGACTACACCGTCCACAGTAAGATAATGACTATAGCTTCAGCTTAAAGCAATCATGCACTCATCTTCGGAGGACCAAACTCTAATTTTATTCCTCAGTCCAATCGAAACGCTCAATTTTACCCTATTCTATACCAAAGAGCTTACCCGGAGTGCCTCATTCTGAATTCCAACTCAATACTTGAATTTTAAGCAAATGGGCCTTAAATTCTTCTGTTACTTGTCCAAGATTGGCCAAAAAAGTGACTGCTAATTGGGACACCAAAACATCTTACATTTTTAGGCTGAGAGAATGATTGTTCATACATACATCTTACAGTTGGGAAGTCTCCATTTTTCTTACTATGCACTTACAATAACCCTACACGAAAAAGAAAGAAAAAGTAAATAAGATGTCAGCGATGCTAAACTGACTTCATCGAACGGATGGGGGGATACTTGAGGCCCACCAAATCAATTGTTTCTTAACTTTGTTAAAATATGGGCTTGTTTGGTAGCCAAAGTCCGATAATCAGTTTAATCTGCATATGGTGTTGAATAATTAGTTTTGACTTGGCATGACTTGTTTTCAAGTATTACATGTGTGTTAGAGGAACAAAAGTAATTTCACTTAAAGAGGAAGTGTTATGCAACAAAAATGACAAATAATACCTAGTAGTTTTAAAAATAAATAAAAAGCTTGAAATGCTTATTTAAAACCTTGCGTATAAGCATTTTCAAGTGCTCAAATGAAAAAAAAAGCATGATACTATCATATAGACCATAAGTTATACCAAACTCTTTCCGATTAGGAAAAAGTCATTTCGGGCATGTAACCATTACGAAACGAGATCTATATCTCTGGCATGTACGGAGTATGTTCAGACTACTCCAAAACATTGGTGAGCTCAAGATAAGAGGATTTATGCAACCCTAAAACCAAACATGCAGAGCTTGGCACAAAAATTGAAAAAATTGAAAAAAGAAAGAATGATTCAGTTTAATGCTGACCTTGATAATACAATACTCCCTCCGTCCCACTATATTTGTCCACTTTCATTTTTGCACACCATCCAATGCACTTCTTTAATCCATTTTATTTTGTAATTTATATATTAAAAAAATATAAAAATTATATATTAATAATCTATATGTTAAGACAAATCAAACAAGATCACACATGACTATATTTAAGCTTACACATTAAGAGAATTTGATGAGTCAAAGTGCTTAGATGAACAGTTCCAAAAGTCAAAAGTGGACGAATATAGCGGGACGGAGGTAGTATAACCCACTCGTTCCGCTACCTCATTAGCCAAAGGCACTATGATTTTGCTATGTCTTGAATATGCTGTGAATGACTTTTACCGGGTGGAATGAAGATTAGATCTTCCCAACCTGAGTTCTTTTCACTTTTCTGTCATCAAAGGGTAAGGAAAAAAGGATTAGTTAACTGATAATATGTGGAGGAACAAAGTTATGATGCCTCTAGTTTACACATGGCAGTTGGAAGGGCATTGACAACTTTAGTGCATTACTACATCAAGGAAAAAATCAGGGCATCCTCATCAATTACCTGCATTTTTTTCAACACATCTTCCAGACTCCCCACCTGAAATTTTGATGGGGGAAATAGAAAAAAAAAATTATAATAAATCCATGCACCTAATGTTCTTAAGGAGTACTCCGTACATGTAATATTCACACCTATTCCATAAATAAGAATATGAAATTGTAACCAATAGTGAAAGGGATTTTGTTACCATTATGTGTTGAGATGCACCATATCCTCCCCTTGATGCACGTGACACAGTCAACAATTCTTTCTCTATATCTTCCTGCACAAATAAATAGTGACTAAAAATGGTACACGGTATACCATTAGTGGCAATTGGCATACAAATCCTACGAACATGGAACAGGTGCACAATGCTAAACAGGCATACCTTCCTGAAGAATATGGGCAAGTAACGCCTGTTTCTCTTCTTGACAACAAGGAGGTCTGACTATAGGCAAAAGGAAGCTATATGATTAATCATTAAATCTTTTGGTTTTAGGATGAGGAGGAATAAAGTACAATTAATCAAATATAGTGCTTCATTTTAATGGTATTGTCTTGGATTTTTCCTCTACTACATTTGAAAAACAGCAACAGGAAAATATCCAAAGTCCATAGATATGTAGTCAACTGTCTGAAATGTTACTAATGCATTTACTACACTTGTTTGATTAGATAATATACCGCATTGTTTTGCAGAGAAAAGAAAGCATCAAGTTAACAAGTTAATCAACGAACCTGAAAAACAGGGACTCCATCAAATCCGCTTGTAGAACTTTTAGGTTTTAGCTAGTTCACATTAAAAAGAGAAAGAGACGGGCTGGTTACAGTTCATTTAAGGAATACATGACAATCTAATACAAGTACATGTCAACAGAGCTTTTAAAACAGACCCATAGATGACTAACTTTCTCTGTAAGGAAGCAAGAGAAATGAAACATTGATCACAATGTACAATGGGATCGCTGCCAGAATCAAGAGTGTAGGCTTAGAGAGGTCGGCTAGAGAAACGAACATGCCTTTGGAAATAATGCCTTTCAAATAAACATTAAGTATAATGATGCCAGATAGTCAAGGATTGTTTGGTACTCCCTCCGTTCCACTATTTTTTGGACATGAGGGAGTTAGTAGCAAGAGAATTCGTAAAAGTAGGACTGCATAATTGATATTGATGTTAAAAGATAAGCTAAAGTAAATATGAATATGAACCACACAAAAATGACCAAATATGGTATGGGAAACCCCCGATGTTACAGTAGGTCAGTAGCATTTCAATATGGGGAATTTACCTATACAATACTAAAACATAATGAATTTCCCAATATAGTACCATATGTTTTAATTTTCCAATGTAGTACCACTGTTTAATGTCCACTGGACATTGTTCAAGTAGATATCTATTGCCACTGGACATTACTCAAAGTAAATCTCCACCCCAACCGGATATTGTTCCCGCCACTGGACATTGTTCAAGTCGTATTTAGGGAATAAAAAGTTGTAGGTACTACATTGGGAAAAGACATATATTTTAGTACAATTTAGTGCAAATTTCACTTCCAATATCATGATTGGCACTTCTACTAGCCAATCTAATTGAACGTTGCTGAGAGGAGAGCAGAGAACAACAAGCCAACCTCTAAAGCATTCTTTATTTGAACTGGATCAGGCAGAAACCGAAATGCGATTCCTTCAACATTCAACATATAAACCTACAAAAGCCTCAATGATGGTTAAAGAAACACTCCAAAGATCATGAAACAACTTTTAAAACCTTTGAACAGAATCTGTATTTACAATTTACAAGCTCAATAAATTACACTTATATGACTCAATATCAAATAGTCATCCAAATTCAACACCAACTCTGAGACTACACATTGGAAAGTTCTCTCGGCGTTTTACTCGTTTTATGATCTTGAGAACAAAAAAACAAATACAACTATTATTACAATAATCATAAACCAAGAAACTTTAAAAGATGTTTTAAAATACGAAGTAAGGTTCAGAAAGCGGAACCTGATCGAGAGTAATAGGAACGACCTTAACCCCGCCTTTGACTTGCCCCCTGCGGGAACGCACCTGAACAAATCACACGAAGGTGAATTTAGAAAAAACAAATGAAGACTGGAGAGCCGATCCGAGATGAAACAACCTCAGAGAGAAATGACTCGGCATCTTCTTTGCGAAAACAAAGCAAACCAATAGATTTCGCGCTATTTTGATCGGAGATGAGCACGAACTCATTGTTTGAGTTGCTGACGGTGAATACTGAAGTTCCGAGCAGAGATTTGGAAAGGCGGTCGGAGCTCAATCCAGAGCCTTCTCCAGTCTTCTGCGACACCGAAGCAAATGGGAGAGACGACAAGGGAGATGAAAGCGTTGGATGCAAACGATTTCCAACCACCGTCAGCGGTGGTGGTGGTAGAGGGCTGAAGTTTGCGGCTAATTTAGAGCCAAAAAAACGCTTGGCTTCATCCAATCGGCCGGAGAGCTCGGCCCCGAAGCGGGCGGAGTGCCGGTGGAAGAAGGCGGAGAGCGAAAGAAGAGGGGTGGGAAAGGGGCCCACAGAGGATTGGGAAGGCTCCATTGCGCCGAAATGAGAAGATGGGTGAGGAAAATAACTGTCCGCTCCGCAGTACTTTGGGCCTTTAATGGGCCACTCTAATTAAATTTAAATTCTATTTTTAATTCAATTTATTTGAAAAAATGTATAGACTAAAAACTAAAATTTATATATTTAAAAATTATATAAAAAATTCTATAAAATAACAAGTGATAAAATTATATTATTTTATCTAATGAGTAGAAAAATTGGGTCAAAGAAAGTGGTTCAAATTTGACTCTATAATTAGTATACATGCAACTTAAATTGAGACGGAAGGAGTATAACGTAAGTCGTCGTAAGCTACCTTGGAGCCATTATAAGCCATTTGTATCCAAACGCCACACTAAAGAGGATGAAAGACCAATGAGCTACTTGTCAACAATTTTAATATTTAATTTTAACGATTTGAAACGGCCCAGTTCAATGGTTACTCACATTGAGTAGCCACAAAGGACATTGTCCTTGTACGGTGCTTCGTTTCAAAAATTGATAGTTTTTATCTCCCTCACCCCCCCCAAAGTAAATCTTACACCCAGTTTCAACCCAAACTCATCCACTCACCCCCGGTCAATTGCACCTTGCAAAACATGCGGGGTGTAATTAAAGGGGTGTTGGATGGGTTCGGATTGGGACCGGGTGGAGATATATCGGGAGGATTAGGAGGTGTATGAACTATCAATTTTGCAAACACAGCACCATAGGTGTCTCAATTGAGTCGGTATCTTCTAAAGCCACTCAAATTAAGTGGCTTTAGAATCCCACCGTTGAAAAAGTATACTTCTCTCGTCCCATAATAGATTACAAATTGCGTAAGATGAAGAAAAATTTTAATTATATTTAATTTGTTTCATTTAAAGTTTGTTATAAGCATAAAAAATAAAATATATATATATTTCAAAACTATATAAAAAAATTCTACAAAACAATAAATTACTAGAATATTTGATTTTATCAAACAAACATTAAAAATACACAAATGAACAGAAGTAATTGTCATTTTGGAATTACGCACATTGTAACCAATTTTAGAACGGATGGAGTACAATATTTAACATTAATTCTAACATTTTTCAGATTAAATTACAACATTAGGGTGTTTAGGGGGGGACTTTCATTACTCCTAATTTAATAATTTTGCTCATCAACAAGAACCATTCAACTAAAATGAAAAATTTCCAAATTTTCCATAAATCTAAGAACATTTGAAGAACCCTAATTTTTATCCAAATTCAATTAGGTAGTGTTTAGAGACTATCATTTCATTTCAATTCCAAAATTTAAATTCTTGAATTTCAAATGACAATATGACATGTATGAATTTCAAATTCAGCTTTGTTATGATTTATGATAGAGGAATTTGATTCAAATCTAAATTTTTCTAATTTCCCAAACATGGAATTTAAACCAAATCCAAATTTCTAAACATACTGTTAAAGAAACTTAGTTATCCGTGTTTAAATTAATACAATCAACCCTTGGGAACATCAATAAACACAGATACATGCAGATTCACACTTAAATTTAACAACTCGAGAATTTTGCATTTATTTAGAAATCGTTTTTGCTCAAAAACGACATCGTTTTGACATTTTAAAAATGTCTCCCACCGTGACAGACTTCCCCATGGTAACAATATTACCATCCCATAAGTACCTAGTACAAATATATGACCTTTAGAATGAAATGGCTGGCTTCCTATGACAAAAAAAAAATGGCAGCCATGCCTAAACATACAAAATTATTACAGAAGAACAATTGGGTAACTAGCTGGAAACATTCCATACAATTAATCACTATACACCATATTTGTCCTTTCAGACCTCCCTCCAAAATATACAATACCTCCTGCAGCAAATAAACTTAAACTTGAACCAATGGCAACTTGAAGAAGTGAGAAACAAAATTTCCTGTTCCCCCAACCAAATGGTCTTTGTAATGTCAGGCGAACACGACCCTTTGTTTCATGACTTTCATCCATAGCTAGTTATAATAAACGGCTGCCTGCATGGCAAATTTGATTATGAAATAAACACTCAGTGATTTATTAAGGAAACAGCATTCGCCAAGAATGTTATTTTCCCTACTAAGATGAAAAACGACATTAAAAATAGGTTGCGTAAAAAGTGAAGCAGGTAGAAGAACCTGGATGTCGCCACGAGGTGTGGTGCCATCCTTGTTCTCCAAGAATGTTTAGTTCACTTCCTCGAGCTAGCTTCATCGGATACTAGGAAGAGGAAGCTTCCAGAAATTCCATGAATTGTAATCCTCCTGAAAGTGAAGGAGACGTGTTCAGAAATCGGCTGATCTCCACCCTTATTCCAGCTCAAATTATGTACTCATAAAAACCAACAAAAAAAAACTAAGGATATGTGTACGTTTGGATAACGGGAAAAAAATTGAAAATGGAAAAATAATGCCCGGGGAAGTTAATTTCTTATGACTCGATTTACTTTGGAAAACACAAAGAAAATGAAATATGATTTATTTACATATCATTTTTCTCTGATTTTTCCGGAAGCCTCTTGGAAACAAACTCTTTGTACTTCTGAGTGAAGGTAAGGTATGCGTCCACACACCCTCCCCAGACCCTACTTTTTGGAGAACTTTACTGGGCCTGTTTTTGTATTTTTCTCTAATCTTTTTCTTCTATTCGTTTTCCTGAAACGGGCGCTAAAAGAAGCAAACCTGCTCCGAAGAGGAAAGAACAGGAAACATGCCGTTGACAAGAGTATGAAGGGAAGTATATGATTTTGTGTTGGTGATATGTCTATTCACAACAATTTCACCCTGCATGATTGTGCAAACCAACATTATCACCTCTATTGTCCAATGGCTTTTCAGCAGAAGAAGAAGAAGACAGACACTGAGTGAGGGAGTGAGTCAGTGAGGTTTCACTAATTCACTCGTTGGTTACCTTTGGGTTTATGATGAAAATCTTTCCCTTTGGGATTCCGACCTTCAGGTAGCTAACCTCATCAGTGTCTCGGTTACCAAAACCAGCGTAAAATGGGTTCGTGTCCGAAGGAAACAATGCTTTGATATCCTACAACAAATTCATATTTACAAGAAAAGTTACAGAAACATGGAATGAAATCAAATGAAAGAATTAGATTCATCAACCAACCTCCAAACATGCAATCTTAAATTCATGTGGAGCTCTTCGTACCACTAAAAAAAGAAAAACAGTGCGCAGGATGTTAGTAGTTCGGCAGTTTTACTTCATGGAACATTGACTCAACCTTCAATTTGAATTAATGCCTACTTGGATTTAAGAAAGAGAACAAATAGGGTGACTTAACCCATTATTATAATTATAATTATAATTATAATTATTATTATTATTATTATTATAATAGGCTGCAGATCTTAGAGTCCAGCGACCTTCTCGAAATAAAGAAGGGAAAAGTCCATCAGGGGATATAATAACAGGCCCTTCTGGCAGTCCCTTCCCATCCTGCAACAGAAGAAGAAGACAGCTTAGCATTTTAGTAAATTATGTTTGTTGATTAATAAAATTGTTCTGTTACAAAATTAAATTCCCCAAATCGACCTGCATCAGATTAATTAGGAATTGTCTGGTTACATAGGCTTGAGAAATTGAACGAGCACTTAAGAAAAGCAGTTGGAATCCATTCTCCTGCACCAAGATCAGAGATTATACACACACTTCTTCTGCACTTACTGGTTGGCAATCTTGGCATTCAGAAGATGCTAAAAAAAAAAAAGAATAGACTAAAACTCAACAAATCAATTCTAGATATTTGCAAAATTTTGTTATATTTATTTGTTTCTATATAAAGACAGAAACTCTAAATATATGTAGCACTCTAAATAATTGTGATCATATTTTATTTTCCTTCATAATTTTCTTTTCCTTGGCCTTTTTCCCGGTTCCAAAGATAGCCTAAGAAAATTTATTATAACAGACACAAAGAGGGTGTTCTATTTGGAGATATAAAAAAAATGTCTAGAATCGGGTTTAAATTTTAAAATGTCAATATATATTTTCCAGCTATGAGATGCTTGACAAATTTCTGCTACAAAAGAACGAAGTTGGCAGCACCATTACAAAACATACCATATCTTCAGAACATGTCATAAATCTAAAACAAAACAAAAAAAAATGGTCCAACAGACCTTAATGGCAGAAAAGAGATGTGCAACGCCTGTCTGGGACCAATCTACCCCAACCAATGGCATAAACTGTCCTAGAACATCAGATCTGCACTTGTGGCCAAGGCAATGAAAATAAGTTCAATGAGAAAAAAAACAAACCTCCACAGGGCTATGAATGAAAATACGGAGAAAAAGAAGCTAAAGATGAAAATGTTCCACCTGGTAATTGTGCCATCAACATCAGATATCACAATACGTGAGTCCCATTTCCACAAATAAATTTGTGCATCAACCTGCAAAGTATGCCTTCGAAAGTCAAAAGGCACAGAAAGCATAAACATACAGACGGAGCCATGGCCGGTTTCAAAGGATAAAGAAAGGTGTCAATCGTTAACATGAAAAGTAAATAAATGCCATAAAAGGACCTGTTGTTTCCCAAGCATAGGAGTTGAGAATGTGAATATCACTATGTTTTTCCCAGCTTTCAGATTCAAAGATGCTAGTTGCTCAGATGTTGGTGTGAGTGCCCTTATTTTCTTCTTAGTAATTCTCACTTTAGGCACATCTTCTTCCGTGCACTCACTGGAATCCCTTGGAGGACTTTTGGCATCAGTGTTTATATTTTCATTCAAAGAATCCCGGATCACAAGAGTGCTATTTGATCTCTTGAAAGGAAAAGACCATGTTCTATGGCTTTCACCATTGGCAGCGGCTGGTGGAGACTTCTCCTCTGCAAAAGCTCAATGTTAGGTTTGGATGATAAGAGATAGAGAAGAGAGAGACAAAAGAAAGAGCGTGAGAAGAAATAATGATTTTAAGGGGGGAAAAAGTACTTCATAGATTTTATGTTTTGTTTCTTATGGCAGAAATGTGTTAGGAAGAGAAGTGAAATAAATCGCTAAAAGATGAAAACAAACCATTAGTCATGGAGCATGTTTAGGTTCAACATGGGGTACAAAAGAGATAAAAAGAGAAGAAAAATGATGTTCCATTTCTTTTCATCCAACAGGAGAAAGAAAATATATTTCCAGTTTAATTTTTCTCTCTATATATTTCTCTCATATGCAAAACAAATTGCCCTTTTCCCCAACTTCTTTCTCCTAGTTCTACTCTAACTAACATGCCATATGTGTGTCAAACTGTTAAAAACTGCAAATTATGATATTTTAGTTTCTTTTAAAACAAATCCATATATTTATTGTGAACAATTGAAGTCATGAGCTTTAGAAAGAACGATTAACTATAGGAACAGAACCACATTACCAGTTTCTGGCTCAACAGGCCTAACATCCACCTCCTGTATGGCCTTAGCAATTTCAACCTCCTGTGATACCTCAGGTGACTTCTGATGATTCTGTCCGCTACACAAATTAGTATCATGAGACCACTTGGTTGGTAAAGATGTCGCCATCCTTATTAAATTATCAGATTGAGCTTTAGAACTGGAAGAAATGCTAATATCACTTCTAACAGATGTTAACTTGACTCTATCAGCAACAAAAGATTCAATCACATCTTTCTCTTCAGAATCTGAATTATCAAGAACGTTGTCTTTTATGTTATTGGGACTTAAATCATCAAGGTTGCCAAAGATGAGCTGCTCCAGCTCCAAGATTTCTGGTGTCACTGTATTACTCTGTTGTTCTACCTCCTCAGAAGAACCATCTAATGGATGGAGATAGACCCGTTGAGAATATTTTTCATTGAGTGGTGAAACTTGACCATCCACGGTTCTGCTTGAAATAGCCATTGCAGTTTTGGGACTCTCTTCGCTTTTGGTGTTTCCAGAATAGTTTGAATTAATAGCAGAGTTTTTATATGTCTTATTGTTATATTCTTGAAATAAGCATATATTTGTATGATCGAGTGATCGAATTTCCTCTTGTGCGGCGTGAGGATCCAAACTATTTGTGTTATCATTCACTTTATCATCAATCGGCAAGTTCTGTTTGTTATCACTGTCATTTGATGGATCTTGACCAGAAATGTTTAAGACTTGACACCTGGGAGAGCGAATGTTAGTGGACCAATTTACCTCCAAAAGATCAGCTGCAATTTGGGCACGTTCCAAAGAGTCTGGCCTAATGACATTGGCATCCCTTTCTTTGATAGATTTCTTGCCAAACACATACCCTAAAATCCCTGATCGTCCTGTTGTTGAGGAAGGCTCGACACCAATGAAATCACAACTTTTTGACTTCATTGGTTTCCTACACTGGGTTTGGGTATCAGTATCCTCACCAGAAGGAGGAGGAGAATACGGATTATCCCCTTCTTCCACGTCCACCTCGCTCAGAAAGCAAGCTTGGCCATCATTCCCCAAATACATACTGAAATCCATTTCCACACCGTTGACGACTAAATTGACCACTTTCTCCTTCGTCTTCATAACCCCCTGAAACTTTCCGAATCGAACATACCAAGGAGAGGACTTGAAGGTCCCATCTGGCTGCTCCACCACAATAATGTCCACTGCACCACCAAATGGGTGGAAAGGCGTGGAAACAGAATATACACCTCTAGATATATAGCTGCCTATTCTTCCTACAGCATTCATCTTCCTCCTACTCGGATCTTCTGAGCAATACAATCTCAATATTTCATCGAATTATCACAACCCCAGATACATCAAGTTCGAATCTTTAGCTCAATTGATTCAATCATTCTCACTACTTTACACCCGAGGAATGCAAAACCCCAGCACTTCAACCCACAAGATATAATTATTACAATTGTTACGGAGTATTATGAAGAAGAAAAGGGAAAAAATAAAGAATAGATCGAATTCCAAACAATAACGAATCCAATTCAAGAAATACCCAAATGATCGAACCCGGAGGGGAATGGGAAAATCCTTGTCAAACTCCTTCGAGCATCTGAGAAAGAAAGGGGGCGACTTGCGTAATAAAGAACCGGAAGAAATGAGAATTGCAGGGAATTATTAACCGCCAAGACCTGGGAAATTAAACAAGCAGTAAGCGACCAGGCAGGCATATTCCTTTTCCAGTATTGGAATGTGCCTATCGCTCGTCAGCAGATTGATTGATTCTGAGACGCTAAACCCATTCTCTCTTATGGATTTTTTAGTTTACTCTCTTTGTTTTTAGGGAGTATGGAAAAGGAAAAGAATTTACAGAGAAGGCAGAGGTAATATGAAAAAGAAATTTCAGAGTACACACAAATCAAAATACTCCGTATATAGTTTAAATTTCTTGTAGTACTACATCTACGTCAATAATAAAAAATACTCCCTTCATCTCCAATTAGATTACAGTATTTCCTCTTATTTTTATTCCAAAAAAAATTACAAAGTGTTTACTTTTACACTAAATTGACTCTTTTACCCTCCCTCATCTTTATCATTTCAATGTCAAAATCTCATCCACCTATTCCTGTACTATTTGGGGGGTAATTTGGGGATAAAGATACTAATTTGATTCTTCCTTAATTTTGTCTAAAAGGAAATATTGTAATCTAAAAGGGGACGGAGAGAGTACTACTTTGTGTCATTGTATAATTACTAAATTATGACATTTAGGTAGTAAAATATGTGGTGAACTTGATAAAGATAATAAAATAAAATTTGTGCTTTTTTTTAGTGAATAATTACAAACAGTAATATAAGTACTTAATCAGAATAACCTCGTCTGGTTAGTACTCAGAATTCATTTGTATTTCTCACTCACTCTTGATCGTAACCTAAATCACGTTGTATTGTCGTCTGTCATACACTATGTAAATTAAGCTATGATATATTCGTATATTATATTTTTTATTTTTAAACATTTCATTTTAACTATTATTGTTTGAAATAAAGTTTATTACAAAATATTACAGAGATCATTTCTATGGACAATACTCTTAGACCCTGTTCTGGCGTTCTTGATTGGAAGTGTCTAAGTCAAAATATCCTAGTCACTATTAATATTGTCAAATTTTAATCACTTTCTTTACATCTTTTCATTAGTTAGTTGATAAAATAATATAGTCATGTCACCTCTTGTTTTATAGAACTTTTGATGTAGTTTTAAAATATATAAATTTTATTTTTTAATTTTATATAATATTTAGGAGTGAGCATATTATCCAAACTGACAGTCCAACCAATGCTTAAAAACCGAATTGCCCGAAATTTTCGGTTTCGGTTAGTAAGGCTCAAGAAATTCGGTCAGTTCGGTTAATCGGTTCGGCTTCGAGTTGAATCTTGAATTAATAAAACCGACCGAAAAACCGAACAAATCACCCAAGAATCCAAAAGTGAAATGCCCATTTGATTCAATCCATCCAAAGGCCCAAGAGTATTAACTACTAAGAGAGACAAAGAGTAAGAGTACGGAGTAATTTCATTTTGCGTCAACTCAACTCTCGGCAAACCCTATTTCATAATACTACGTATGTAGTACGGACCATATATAAATATCAAAATTTAAACGTAGTCACCGTTAAGTATTTGTTAAAAATAGTGATTGCATAATTAAAACATACCATATATTAATTATATATTGCTTAAAAAGCATGTACGGAGTATATTATTTCCTCCACTGTAGTATTATATTGATGTGGAAGGAAATATATGAATTAAAATAGGTCTAAATGCGTAATTATTATGATTACTCTGTAATTGTTTTAAATAAATTGAGAAAAAATAAAAAGAGATTCTAAAAAATTACACATAAGTTTGCCACATGACGTATCTATATAAGATGATATATGTCAAATTCTTAGACTTACACATGTCAAATTCTTAGAGTATAAACTCTCAAATTTTAGATTAAAAGATTTCTTGAGCAATGAATCGAATTCCATGATCACGGGCAAGGTAGATGCCCATATTTCCCGGTCCACTGATCCACAGGAGGCCCATATCGAAATGCGGACAAGGCCCAATACAGTGTATTGTTTTACAAGGCGCCCATTCGTTCTCCCCGAAGTCCACACACACAGAAGGCAACGAGGGGTGAGTAGCAGCGAGCTGCGGCGGTGGTTGGCCATGAAGCTCACCGGCGACATACCGCCAAATCAAACAATATACATTAAGAACTTAAACGAGAAGGTCAAGAAGGAAGGTATTTCTCCTCTCATATGTTGTACTGTCGTCTTTTCAAATTCGGCTCTAGGGTTTCACTGAATCGTTCAACCTTCGTCCTCAGCTGCTATTTTGTACTTTATCTGCTCTCAATTCGCGCATATGTATTCGTCTGGACAACCGAAAATTAGAAAATAGCTTTTTTATATGCTTTCAGCACTTCGTGGGATAATGATGGGAAATTCTATGGTGGCCAATGGGTAAGGTTGTCTGTGATACCAAATTAACAAGGATTGTAGGAAAATAAAGGTTTTCGAAGAATCAAAAGGCAAATTCAGGGAAGAACTTCCGATAGATTTTACCAGAGAGAAATTAGGAGGAAGAAGGAGATCAATTATTCTTTCATGTCTTACAAGAATACCGCACATCTCTATATATTGGTACAAGGGAAAACAGAATTAGTTAGGCAACAGTAACTAATCTTGTATCAGTTTGGGCTCTACCATGTAGTAGCATTAGAACTATTGCTTTACACTCAGTAAGTGGCTTTCATGCTTTACAATTACAGTATTTTATTTCTATTGTAATGTTCTTTTTTCCAATTCCTATACATAGTACACTGATTGTAAAAAAAAGTATTCATTTTTTTCCTTAGGCCCCGTTTGGTACACGGAATTCAAACTATGGAATTGGAATTGAGGACTTCAATTCCAATTCTCATGTTTGGTAGCACAAAAATTATGTAGATTTGGAATTGGTATTGCAAAAAATGAATTGGAATTGGTGAATTCAATTCTATGGAATTGAATCCCATGGAATTTTAATTCCAATTCAATTCCAATTCCATCAATTCTGTGTACCAAACGGACCCTTAGTGTTTTTCTAAAATGTTTTATTTTCAACCCTTTTGTAATGTTTTTATTCCAATTTATCTGTCATCTTATTTTCAACCCTTTTTTCTTCTAGTCGATATTTTTCCATTTTTCATTTGAATTTTAAATTCTAAACGAGCATATTTGAATTCCTTTCTTTCATGCTGAATTTAAAATAAAAGGTATATCAACTGCAACATATAATGTGATATATTTATATCAGTGTTAGTAATGTATAGCATTTCTCATGTACTACTTGTTGCCTAATTGTCCCCTAGGCATCATGGTGGTACACTGGCGCCAGGACTCGCCTTGGCGCCGTGATAACTATAATGGTAACTCCAACAATGTATCAAAAGTCTAACGAGCCTTCTGTTTATTTTAGGGTTCAGAGTGGGTACATATTGACCCCTCAAACTCCAGCACAATTTAGTTTAGATTGGGTTGTATTTTTTTGAGGTTGTGGAGAGACTTGGAGCCACTTGATTGTACGTTCTTCGTGTGGACTCAGCCCCTGTTTAACTGTTATTGGTCAGCTACTCATAGATCTTCCTGCTGGCCTTCTCCGCGCTCTATTTGCTTCTCCGTCAGTAGCTAGAGTTGGGAATTAGGATGAAGGTGAAGGTGATTTGCCGGAAAGTGTGTGATTATGTCCGGTATGACCTGAAAGAAATTGCATTCCCTTCATCTTTACCTGACCCGCCTCATATAAAAAAGCGCAGGAAATTAACTTGGAAGGAGCGATTCCTTGTGAGTATTTCTATGACACAATGCTTGTCTCAAAGAAATTCATTTATCTTGTTTGTATTGAATTCATTCTTGTCAGAACATTGTTCAGTTTGCATCCATTGCTCTCTAAAATTCGTCATTTTTATGGAAATAATGGTCAACACATTTCAGAAAATCTGATAATAGTTAGAGAGACGACAGTTAGTCTATATGATCAACGGTAAATCTCTGTCTTGTTCAGTGTGATCCGACCTACGAAATTTGAAATTGCTGTCCAGGTGTTGAAGGAAGCTTCTAGGCTTTATGCTGCAAGCTGGGTAAGGGACATTGGTCCTGAACTTCGACCTAATGACTACAAAAAGAAACAATATGATGAAGAGATACTTAACGATGAAAATGGTGCCACTAAGCAGAAGGAGCCCTCAACATTGGAGGACCTAGGTAAAGAACCTCAGCCACCTTGTCCACCTTATGTTAATTCATTTGTGTGCCCTTATTTGAATGCCCTCTTTTTTTTTATTCAATTTCCTCTCCATTCTTTGTGTTTTTTTAACCACCAGCCGTGGCTGCAAGAGGCGGCATGGAAACTCTCAGGCCCGCACTGCAGCGGGTTTATATGACTAGAGCCGCAGCATCTAGAGATGCTCTCAAGAGCTTTATTCAAGGATATCAAGAAGGCATTCAGCAAGTCATGGAGAAAAAAGAAGAGACTACATCTCAGAATGACGAGGATTTTCATAAGGACAAAAGTTGACCTGCTAAGCCAAATAAGTGAGTTCCTTCTGGATGACTGATAAAAATATGAAATTGTATAACCCACATTTTTTTGCTGAAAATTTTGCATAACCGGTTTTTTAATAGCTTGAACCCATGTTTTTTTTGTATGAAGACAACCAATGACTGAAGTTTGGGGACAGAGGGAGCATTAAGTATTTGAATTAAAGTCGCATGATGTTTGAAACTAATTGTCCATTTACACTATGTTTGGTTCAAGGAATTTGGAAGGAAATGAAAAGAAAACAATTTCCTCTCATTTTCCTCACTAAAATGGGAGAAATTTGCTTTTTTTTCCTCTTAATATGTTTTGCCTTCTCATTTTCTTTTCCTTCTACTTTTCCTTTTATTTCCTTTCTAACCAAACAAAAAATACTGTTTTTCACCTCATTTTCTTTTCTTTTTCCGTTCAAATTCGTTGAACCAAAGACATTGTTAGTAAACAAAGTAATAGAAATGGAGAAGTACTTTGGTCAAAGAACTTTTGATTTTTCTTAGGAGATTTTTATTTTTGAAGAAAGTAAATGGACATATTACCAGGGAAAGGAATTCAATACGAGCAGAAAAAGAAGAAGCTAATTTCACGCATTTTTGCATTTGTCTAATGATGATCTAATCCAAAAAGCACTTTCCATGCGGGTGCCGGTTATTAGAATCACTCTCATCACAAGTCAAACAAAGTTTGTCATACTGGCCACTTTCTCACCTACGGAGTATTTCTTTGTCCCAAGTCATATGTTATGCCTTAAAAGTAAAGTTGTACTCCTATTCTTTCGTAGTCTCTTTTACACTATGTTTGGTTCAAGAAATTTGAAAGGGAAGAGAAAAGAAAATGAGACGGAAAATAGTTTTTCTTGTTTGATTAGAAAGAAAAAAAACAAAAAAAGAGAAAGAAAATAAAATGAGAAGACAAATATTACTAAGAGGAAAAAGAACTAAATTCCTCCCATTTTGGCGTAAAAAATGAGAGAAACATGTTTTCTTTTCTTTTCGTTCTAAATTCTTGAACTAAACATAATGTTAAGAAAAATAGTGCACTCTGTGAAGAGCAACAATTTCCTCTTTTCTAAACAATTTCTATCCATTCATTTTTTACTTTCTAGTATTGTAGTCCGTATTTATTTGCACTCCAAAAAAATCAAAGAGTGAATTTAATTGCGCGAGGGAGAGAGTATCACACAATGAAAAAAATCATAATTGCAGAGTGTTTTTTCACTTTAATAGGTTTCAATTCCTAGTTTTATTCGAGCAAAAAATCCCAACCTAATATGTTGTTTAAGGGTGTTTGGTATTGATTTTAACAATAATTCTCAATTCTTCCTTAGATAGAAACAAATTAAACTATATGGTGGTAGTGTTTAAACTGTATGGTAGTGTCAGGTTCTTCATCTTAATTTCTTTGAGAGATAAAAAACAAAAACTCAGAAACGCCTCTTAGATACTTTTAGATTTTGTTGTTAAAATGATCACTTTAAAAAAATATGTAGGGTGTTCGAGTTGTGTTTGAAAACTATTTTTGATCTTCTACTTTGTTAAAATTCACTTTAGCGTGCTTGAAAATTAAATCTAGTTCCACTTATAGCTTATAGCTTATGGCTTCACAAATTTAAAATGACTTCCAGTAATACTTTCAACAAAGTTAAAAACATTTTTTCTTTTCGAAACTTTTTTTATAACGAATATTTCTTGAGCAATGCTTCCAACTCCGTGATCACGGGCAAGGTAGATGCCCATATTTCCCGGTCCACTGATCCACACGAGGCCCATATCGAAATTCCGATAAGGCCCAATACAGTGTATTGTTTTATAACGCGCCCACTCTTTCTGTCCCCGAAGTCCACACACAGAAGGCAACGAGGGGTGAGTAGCAGCGAGCTGCGGCGGTGGTTGGCGCCACTTGGCGGAGGAAGCTCACCGGAGACATACCGCCAAATCAAACAATATACATTAAGAACTTAAACGAGAAGGTCAAGAAGGAAGGTATTTCTCCTCTCCTATGTTGTACTGTCGTCTTTACAAATTCGGCTCTAGGGTTTCACTGAATCGTTCAACCTTCGTCCTCAGCTGCTATTTTGTACTTTATCTGCTCTCAATTCGCGCATATGTATTCTTCTGGACAACCGAAAATTAGCGAATAGCTTTTTATATGCTTTCAGCACTTCGTGGGATAATGATGGGAAATTATATGGTGGCCAATGGGTAAGGTTGTCTGTGATACCAAATTAACAAGGATTGTAGGAAAATAAAGGTTTCCGAAGAACCAAAAGGAAAATTCAGGGAAGAACTTCCGAGATATTTTACCAGAGAGCAATGAAGAGGAAGAAGGAGATCAATTATTCTTTCATGTCTTATTAGAATACCGCACATCCCTAAATATTGATACAATGGAAAATAAGTTAGGCAACAGTAACTAATCTAACAAACTCTTCCAGCTCTACTTATTAAACTTGTATCAGTTTGGGCTCTACCATGTAGTAGCATTAGAACTGCATGTTGGTCCGTACCTATGATAATTGTGCGTTCATCAACACCTGCAAACGAGTTTTCTCTAAAAGAAAATTGAGCATTCACATATCTGTATAAGCATTCTTTATAAGAAATTGAGCATTCACATATCTGTAGAAGCATTCTTTATAAGAAATTGAGCATTCACATATCTGTATAAGCATTCTTTATAAGAAATTGAGAAAAATAGGTAACCATAAACACGAAAAGGAAAGAAAAGGAGCATTCTTTGGATGAAAATTGATCAATCTTCAAAATAAGGCCGGATGTAGGATATGTTCTTTTCAAATAGTGGTTGGTTCTCTAGGAATGGTCGGGGTACTTGAATAGGACCTTTGGTGGTTCTGTTTCCGTTTCCGTTTATTACCGTCCACTTGAAGATGTGGAATGGGGTGTGATGTTGCATCTCCCATTACAAAGATTTTGTCATGGAAATGCAGCACAAGGGAATGAAAAGGCAACATGTCCACCAAAAACTGGGAAAATAATGCTTCAAAATTCACCCCAAAATCCTCTTACAGGCTCTCCTCATGTAGTTTGCTTGTTAAAATTGTCGTTCACGCCACAATAGCATCTCCCACTTGAAGATGTGGAACGGGGTGTGATGTTGCATCTCCCATTACAAAGATTTTGTCATGGAAATGCAGCATAAGGGAATGAAAGGCAACATGTCCACCAAAAACCGGGAAAATAATGCTTCAAAATTCACCACAAAATCCTCTTACAGGCTCTCCAAATGTAGTTTGCTTGTTCAACATTGTCATTCACGCCACAATAGCTCTCTGACCATTCCAACACCGAGATCATCTAGCATTGCCATACCAGTTAGGCTCGCTTGTGTTTGTTCTTATGCGCTAATAAATGAAACCACACATCTCTCTTGCGTGCTGTGTAATTGAAAACGTAATTTGCACTTCACGTTTTTATGAAACACTTCTATGCATACTTTGTGCAGGTGGAGGTGGAGACGGGGGTCTCTTGGAAACAGCCTCCCTACTTCTGAGTAGGGGCAAGGTCTGCGTACACACACCCTCCCCAGACCCTACTATTGTGGGATCCAACTGGGTTGTTGTTGTTGTTGTTGTTCTATGCATACTTTACTTTCACGTTTTTTGACTAAGCAGTTGCTCTATTATGTTATTTCGATTTTGTGACTTTTATGTGATTTTATTCACACGTGAAGCGGCATTATAAAGTAGAAACTAGTAGGATCCAGACGTTTCAAAGGGAAGGGAGAAAATATCAGAGCGATGGGAAGTAACCAACCGGTGGCACAAATCCCGACTAGCTTCGGCCATGAACTCAGGGCTTGCCTCCGATGCCGTCTTGTCAAAACATATGATCAGGTTTCTGTTTTGTTTTACATTAAATTTATTTCGAACCCTACACATTACTCTGTGTAATTCATGTTGTGTAAGACAATTGAAGCAAGGCAGTGATTAGGGTAGTAGAATCTTTTTTTCTTTGTTATTGCTGGTGTGTTGGCTCACTTTTGTGTATAATATTCCTACCATGAAATTTGTAATTATTGGTGACATTGCAGTTCAGAGAGTCTGGATGCGAGAACTGTCAATTCTTTAAGATGGATGAAGATCATGAGCGTGTTGTTGAATGCACAACACCTAATTTCAATGGGTATCAAATCGTAGAGATCTTATGGGAATCATTTGTCGACTTTCTTGTCTTTGTTTGGAATTAGTTGTCCACTTTTCTTATTCAATAAAAAAAATTGTGATGAGTTTAAAATATTCAAGGAATTTGACACTCTAAATTCATTGCTGAAAAATGAGATTATTGGAAAAGTGGACAACTAAATCCGGACGGAAGGGTATATCATTTTAAAATTTTACCATTGGCTTAAGTGCTCATGGTGTCTTACTCCTCTTGCAGTATAATCTCAGTCATGGATCCAAGTAGGAGCTGGGCTGCTCGCTGGCTTCGGATAGGTATGCACTACTTTTTTTTTCTCTTCCAAGTTTCAAAATATTTTGGAATTTCAAGTATTCCCTCCGTCCCAAAACTAAATTCATAAACACTATTCACACACAGCTGGGCTAAAGACTAATATGCTGCTAGGAATGAACTTCTAGACGGACATTTTAACAAATGATGTGGGCTAAAATAAGCTCCGACACCATGATGGTGGACTTTAGGTTGTAGTTTTTGTTGTTGAGTTTGTCGTTTTTATCCCTTAGTTTGTAGTTTCTGCATGTGTGCTTTGAGTTTGTCGTTTTGTTCCTGGGTTTCGAGTCGTGGTCTCTTGAAAACAGTCTCTCTACTTTCCAAGTAAGAGTGAAGTCTATGCATACACACCTCAAGGCCTAGACCCATTGTTGCGGGATTTTGTTGTTGTTGTTGTATACATAGATGTAAGTTGTAATTTGATTTGCAATTATGTGAGTTTGAATGTAGAATTTGTTTTTGTGCTATTATGTTTGTTTGTTTCTTGTTCTTTTGTTTTTGAATTCAAAGATGAAAAGAAAGTTTCCCAAGTTATCAGAGTTGGGGACTTGGGCGGTGGGCCAATACTAAGAACATTTTCAACTAGGGAACCATAATAGTGTGGATTGTGGAAAATGATATTTATGTGCAAACCATCTGAAGTACACAATACCAAGTTTCGAACATCGACTCCTACTAGGAAGTGTCTCAGGTTTCAATCAAGGAACTGCAACCCT